TCTGTGCTGCCTTCCGGACCAACGACAGGCTCTTCCGATCAGCTTCCTTCTCCCATGCTCTCTCCACCTGGCTGTCATCTTTTCTTTACCCCATCCACTGAGTTTTAAAATCATGACTACATTTCCCTTTTTAAAAAGTGCCGTTTGGTTCTTCTTCGACTCCTCCTGGCTCTTTTTTAGGATGACGGAGCGTTCCCCGGCCAGGAGGAGCCGCGGTCATGGCGTTCATCCAGCACTGGTCAGCCTTCTGCAGGCCGGCTAGGCGGGGTGGCCACTGACGGCCAGAGAGGACCCATCTCGCTCCAGGGTTTTTACCTCCTCTTTTCCCTTAGCCCATTTATAGGCTCAAGCTTCTGTCCTTAAAACAACACAAAACTCTCTCTCTCTCTCTCTCTCTTAAGAAAAAATAAAGAAAAATAAATTTTAAAAAAACAAAACAAAACAAAAACACGCAACCCCCAAATTCCTTTCTTCAGCCCTGCAGTCCCCCATGGCCAATGCTTTCTCTTTTTCTCTCCTGTGACAGCCCAGATTCAGAACACCTCACATCTGCGTCCTGGACAGCTGCTTCCCGTGGAGCCACTGTGGGTGATTTCTGACCCAACTTTTTTTTTTGAGAAAGCAGGCTTTATTGAGAGGACAGAAACGTTCCCACAGTGGGAGGGGACCCGAAGGGGTTGCCCTCTGACCCACCTTTTACAGGGTCTCCTCGGTTGATGGACTCCTGGGTCGTCTCGGGTCCTTGTTCTGTTTCGCATGTTTGCGGCCCCTGTTAGCCTGTCCTTTTACCATAGAGATGCTCTCCTGCCTGGGGTTTCAGGGATTCCTGCCTTTGACCTCTCACCCCTTCCCTCTTCTTCCCTTGTAGCCGCGGCCGTGTTCAGGTCTGCGTCATCTCTTATGGGAGCTGTGAAATAATCTGTGACAGCTTTTATTGCCTGTTAAATACATCACGTTCTGAGAAGTTACTACGTGCAGCATAGGAAAGGCCATTCAAGGAAGGCGCGTCCCTCCCGCCCCCTCACCGCCATCCCGTTGTCGCTCCCCAGAGACGAGCACTGTTAGCGTTTTCTTGTCTGTCCTTCCAGAAGGGTTTTCTGCACATAAAAGCACACGCACATATGTTTTCTCCTTATTTCCCTGTAAAAGCGGACTTGTACTAACCTCTGGTCTTTCTCTTGCCTTTTTCACACATGAGATGTCTCAGAGACCACTGAGCTGCCACATTCTTTTTTAAAGAGTGTATAGTGTCCTGGTTGCTTTCAGGTCTCCCCCTGGTTCTGTCCACCCTCAAACTACTGTCAGTTATTTTTCTAGACCAAAAACCTCACCCTGTTGCTTACTGGGTGTACACCCCCGATGGCTCCCCTCCCCGTGGGTGAAGTTCACCAATCCAAGCCTCCTCTCCCCACAGCCCATTGCCCACGTCCCTCTGTTGGCTCCTCTCTGCCCCCACTTTCCAGCCCATTTCGTGCCTGTGCAGAGTTCAGTGCTTTGGCCTGGTCATCACCGTCTTGCGGACAGGCCACGCACGTCATGCCTTTGCGTGGCCATCTTTCTCCCTCTGGAGTTGCCCATCAGAGTGTGTAACCAGCAGTCTCCCTGAACCGCAGGTGTCTCTCAGGGCTTGGCTTAGTTGTTACCTTTGTTGTGACGTCTCCAAACCCACCCGGAAGCACTGGCACGCCCGTGTCCCCTGTAATGGCACTGAACGTTGTTCCACATCTGTCTTCCACTAGGCTGGCGCCATGCGGCTGAGGCATGTGTGGAATGCTAAAAACACATGTGCTCAGGTTTGGCCTTCATAAATGCATCCAGTAGGTCAGGCTCTAGTTCCAAAGAGTTACTGATATGTCGCTTAGATTAAGAATCAGTGCCTAAGCCGGGCTCAGTGGCTCAGCCTATAATCCCACGCCTTTGGGAGGCTGAGGTGAGTGGATTGCCTGAGCCCGCGGGTTCGAGACCCGCCTGGGCAGCAAGACCTCATCTCTACAATAAATCAAAAAATCAGCCAGGTGTGGTAGCACATGCCTGTAATTCCGGCTACTCAGAAGGCTGAGGCGGAAGGAGCCCGGCAGGTCGAGGCTGCGGTGGCCAGGAGCAGCCACTGCACTCCAGTCTGGGCGACACAGTGAGACTCCAACTCAAAAAAAAAAAAAAAAAAAGAATCAGTGCCTGCAAAGGCAGGAACAACTGTTGCTGGGCACTGTTGATGGCGGGGGGGACAAGGGCATACAGCCACCCAGTGGGCACTGTGTCCACTACCGGGGAGAGAGGGCTTGCTGGAAGCCAAGACCTCACCTGCACGCACTGTACCTATTTAGCAAATCCTCACTTGTACCCCACAACTCTAAAATAAAACAGCAAAAAGAATCGGTGCATAGATGGGTGCTCTCCAGAATGGCTGACTCTCATTCATATCTTTCTCGAGCACCTTGAACCTGTTCCTTGTGAAGCAGGAAAACAGCAAACATCACAGAGTGTGTTCGGGCTGGAAAGGAGGTGAGGGCTCAGGCGGAAGCCAGTATTGATCGGTAGGAGGAAGCATTGATGCTGAAGCCTGTTGGGTGTGGGTTAAAGTTGGTTTCTTTGGGGAGGGTGGTGACGTCAGAGTGGTGTTCCGAGATTAGTCCAGCAGAAGGATGGAGAAGGGTGGCTGCTGTGGTTGGAACTTGCGCCCCAGAGTTCCCATGCTGAAGACTTAATCCTCAACACACCAGGAGAGGCAGGACCTTGAGACATTTTGGGCCACAGGGACTCTGCCTCACAGGGACTCCTGTTGTTATCTCGAGTGGGTTTGTTACAAAAGTGAGTTTGGCCCTCCAGCACCCTCGCGCACTCGCCCATATGGTGCCTGCCACCACATCGTGGCACTCAGGAAGGCCCTCACCAGATGCAGCCCCTCCATCTCGGACGGCCCAGCCTCCAGAACCACAAGGCCAAGGAGCTTCTGTTCGTGATGAACTGCGCAGCCTCTGGTCTTCTGTGATAGCTGCATAAAACAGACAAAGACACTTGGCTATGGCAGTGATGCAGGCATGGGCTACAATGTCTTGAACTAGGGAGCGGGACCAGAAAGGAAGTGGGCACAACTGATGTTGCAGAGGCAGAATCTGCAGGTAGCTTCAGGTCGCCCACTAGGTGGTTGCTTGTGAGTGGCAGGGTCGGGAGCAGAGATGCCGCCACAGCGCGCTGGTGTGGCAAGCCCGCAAGCCCTGTGCCTAGGATGGAGCTTTGACTAGCATCATACCAGAAAGACCCCCTTAGTCTGTGTACCTGGCTGTGACCGTTTGGTCCCGAGGTGGGCAGGGGAGGGATGGCGAAAGGAGGGCTTAGTGGGTCATTCCCTCTAGGTCATTCTGGGTCCTTCTGGATTGTACAGGGAAGATGAAGAGAGTTGCCGATCTACCCGGACCTTCCACGCTAAATCTTTATTTTTTATGAATAATGACATCTTAAAGTATATATGCTCAGAATCTTCCAGTTTCCTAGCCTTGCTGAGTTTTTTTCCTTTTAACTTTTATTTTATTTATTTATTTGTCGAGTTGGAGTCTCACTCCATGGCCCAGGCTGTTGTACAGTGGCACGCTCACGACCACCCATGCGTCGACCTGCTGGGCTCCAGCGATCCTTCTGCTTCAACCTTTCAAGGAGCCGGAACTGCAGGCATGCGCTACCACGCCCGGCTAATTTTTGGTTTTTTATTGTAGAGACGAGTTCTCGCCAAGTTGCCTGGGCTGGTCTCGAACCCACCGGCTCAGGCATTCCACTCACCTCAGCCTCCCAAAGTGATGGGATTACAGGCTGAGCCACTGAGTCCGGCCTAGTCTTGCTTTTAAATGGCCAATTGACCTGTGCTGACTCACCAGAAAAGTGAAGAGAAGTGGGGCGAGGACGAGCTTTTAAAGTCCTTATGGCAGAGATCTCTGCAGGATTTCTGAGAAGGTTTTCACGGTAATGTCTTGAAGTAAATGACATGGTCCCCCAAAGATGTTCAGTGTTGTTTGGACTTTCTCCATAAATGATCTTTTTTTCAGTATTCATCAACGAGATGCTTATTCCTATCAGTCTTCTTTGTCTTCTAGAAGGTTCTGTTGAACTCTCTTAATTTTCTGTTGTTCAGGAGCTAGACTGGATGTCCTGCTAACAAGGACATAGGACTGCATGAAAGGAAGGGCTGGCAAGAGACGGCTTTGATGTCTTTGTTCCTGGAAGTCAAGCTGGGAACTTCCTCTCAGTGTTAACCTCGGGCAGTTTACTTGTTACGTAAAAGATATGGTAGCATGGAGGCTTCCAAAGAGTCTTCCGTTTTGGGATGTCAACCAGACTCCCAAGAGCAACTTGTCACCTCACCCAACTCTGAACTGTGACGGAACTGGAGAAGGGACTGCAGTTTTGTGGTGTCTGGGGAAGAAAAGACAGGGAAAGCCTGAGTCTGAGTGTGAAAGAGCTTCAAAGTGCAGGCTCTCCATGTAGGAGAGGTGTCAAGACACTATTCTATCAAGTTTCCAGCACCAGAATAATTTTTAATAATACAACAGTCTTTACTTAAAAATTATCAAAGCTGGGCACGGTGGCATGCACTTACAGTGTCAGCTACTGGGAAGCTGAGGCAGGAGGATCGCTTGAGCTCAGGAGTTTGAGGCCAGCCTGGGCTACACAGCAAGACCCCTTCTTCTAAAAATATGTACATATTTTTAAGTCATTGTGTCTTCAGAATGGCAACAATTTAAAGGAGAGATGGAAACCAGCATCCCTAAACAAGTTGACATGGGGTTTTGTAATTACTTCCATCCTGACAGTTGAGTCTGTAAGTCGAGATGGATCTTACTGGTGCTGGGCCTTTCATTTTTGAAGGACAAGGCATTTTCCTGTCTGGACTCACTGACCGGTATCACTCGGTGTTTGATTTCTCTAGAAGCAGCCCACTCCCGCGGCATGGGACGCTGGCTTCCTTCCCCACTTCCTGTGACCAAGCCACTCCCGAGGATTCTGTGGGGATGCCTATAGCCCACCGGAAGTCAGACTCCTCGGAGATGGACCCCGACGCGTCTCCCGGCTGCAGACTCAGCGGCCTGAGCAGAGGCGGAAGCTTGGAGAGTCAGAGCAGCAGTTCTGGGACCCGAAGCGTCTCTCTGGTGAGTGACGGTGTCCTTTCCTGCCCTCACAGGCTTTGCTGGGTTGACTGTGCACCCCGCCCCCTCCCTTCAAGGGATCTCTTGCAAAATCCTTCTGGGTTGACAGGACTGGTGTTTCAGGATGCTTCTTTGTGAAAATGGCATTTTATTTTTGATCATCCTAAATTTTGCGCAAATACAAAGCATCACCCACAGCCGCGGGCAGATCCCCGCCGCAGCTTGTAGCGCAGGCCGCTCGGACCCAGGAAGGCCTGGAGGAGCAGCAGAGCCGGGCGAGCGTGGAGGACCAAAAGGAGAGCTCCCCGATCCAAGCAGCCCGTCTTGGCATGGCCTTGTGAACCCATTAACAGAAACGCTTTTGGAGCTGATTCTCTCAGAGTCCAGGCCCTTACATCACCTTGGGGATCTTACAGAGAGTCTTTAGTTTTGAGTTGAGATGGTCTTTTTGGTCCACTTCCCCCATCCCTGGCCCCCACCCCAGGATACTCACCCTCTGGAGAGGGAGACCTTTCCATCCGTAGCGGGAGGGGATCGGCCCAGAACCCCAGCTGGAGCCACAAGCCGCCTTCTTCTCGTGGGAGCACGGGACTCCTCGGATGTGCTGAGCCCTACCGTTAGCCCTGATGATGCTGGCAGGAAGGTATCCATGGCATGGGGCAGTTAATAGGGTTGATAGGATTTTTTTTTTTTTTTTTTTGAGTTGGAGTCTCACTCTGTCGCCCAGACTGGAGTGCAGTGGCCGCTCCCGACCACCGCAGCCTCGACCTGCTGGGCTCCGGCGATCCTTCCGCCTCTGCCTTCCAAGTAGCTGGAACTACAGGCACGCGCTACCATGCCCAGCTAGTTTTTGATTTATTGTATAGATGAGGTCTTGCCAAGTTGCCCAGGCGGGTCTTGAACCCACGGGCTCAGGCAATCCACTCACCTCAGCCTCCCAAAGAGCGGGATTACAGGCTGAACCACCAAGCCCGGCTTGATAGAATTTTTATAGACTCCTGTTGCATATCTTCTTCTGTTAAACCATCATGGTAGTGTGTAATAAATATTATTTGGCTGGCTCATCAAAAGAAAAATATATAACAAATGACTTTCTGAATATCCGAGAGCCTACAAATAGTTCAGAATAGAGGCCGAACATAGTGGATCATGCCTGTAAATCCCAGCACTTTGGGAGGCCGAAGCAGGCGGATCACTTGAGGCCAGGAGTTCAAGACCAGTTTGGCCAACATAGTAAGACCCTGTCTCTAATAAGTAAAGATTATACTTAAAAGATACATTTTAAAAGAATATGCAAAACAGACATACAGATTAATGTTCCAATAATTAGTGGAGAATGTTCTCCAAAGAATAGTTAGAATGCAGTCCTACTCTGGTAGTGAGGGGTAATTCTGAAACTTGGAGTGGCTAACTAAGAGACTACCTTGTGCATGGGGTGGTGAGGTAAACTTGAGAATGTTCCCCAGATGATCCTGGTGTCTAAGTAAAGGGGTAGTGAATTAGGATATCTGAGGCTGGGCATGGTGGCTCACACCTGTAATCCCAGCACTTTGAGAGGCTAAGGCATGAGGATCACTTGAGCCCAGGAGTTCAACTTCAAGGATATCTGAATTATTTTCTTGCCTTTCATACTCACTTTCTTGTTGAACTTGAAGCATAACTTGTAATGTTTTGTTTGTACTGTGGCTCTTGATAGAGAATGGATGCAATACCTGATGTTCTTTTCCTCCTGGGAGAAACCCTGATACCAACTGTATCAAATGTTTTGAATCTGGGGAAGGACAGTTACTACTTTATATGAACCAAGTAATGCCTCCTGCCTCCTTTTTTTTGGGGGGGGTGCGTTGGAGTCTCACTCTGTCCACCGCAACTTGACTTGCTGGGTTCGGGCGATCCTTCTGCCTCAGCCTTCCAGGTAGCTGGAGCTACAGGCGCACGCTACCACGCCGGCTAATTTTTGATTTATTGTAGAGACAAGGTCTTGCCAAGTTGCCCGGGCTGGTCTTCAGCTGGTGGGCTCAGGCAATCCACTCACCTCGGCCTCTCAAAGTGCTGGGATTACAGGCTGAGCCACCGAGCCCGGCCATAATGCCTCCTGTTCATCAGTCCTGGGTGGTAGCTCAAACACAAACTCCAAAGACAGTCAGAACTTCATTACCCCTAAGACTTGTCCACTGATGAGTAGAGTTGACCCTTCTGTATTAACCTCCTGTCTCGTGTGTGTGCACATGCTTAGGTGTGTGCTTTATCGGCTGAAATGCTGACTCACTACTCAAGAGTCAAGGGCACAGCAGTGGAGCGCACATCCTAGTGACTGCAACCCGCGATGACCAACTAAGCTGGTGCACCTCTGCGTCCCCGGGGCAGACATGAAGGCCAGATGCAGGAGGCACGTCCTGGGCGTGTTCCCAGGGTCACCATCTGTGCCAGGAAGCCAGTGGGGGACCAGGCAGAGAAGTAGGCAAACTGTGGTGCAGACCCTGCGGCCTCTGCTGTTCTCAGGCACTCTGAAGCCGGGGTCCCTTCAGCCACCCCACACTGGGTCATGGGGGCCTTCAGACCTGCTGGTGGCAGGCTTGGGCCTGGGCTTCCCCTGGAAGGAGGTGCAGCCTTGACCAAGCAGTCTCTCTCAGCCAAGACCATCCCCCAAGAAACCGACCATCGGGGCCGCGGTTAGCTGCAGTCACAGCAGGTAGGGAGCAGGTCGCTTATTCCCATCTGGTGACCTCGGTGGTTCCAAACCCACAGAGGCTGAGGCGAAGACGAAAAGAAGCTCTTAGGAGGGTCGAAGTAGCCAGAGCCCCTGCGGGACATGCTGACCAGGAGAAGCAGGGCTAAAATGAACTTGGGGAGTTTACTGGACACGGCCGTGTAAATACATTCAGCTCTATTGTATTTTACAGAACAAAGGAGAATACAGCTTCTCAGAGAATGTCCAGGCAAATGGGATATTCAGGTTGGTCCTCTGGCAAATTTGGAGAACACGCATTACATTGGCTCTTTGTCCAAGATGTCACACAGGGGAGACCTACAGAGAGAAATGCTCTCGTTTGCAAGGAGTCTATAACTTTCAGCTCCAAAGTCACACAGAGAAATGGCTTAATCGGAAACTTTTCATCATGGAAATTTTTTAATAATATAAGATATTAGACATATCATCAGGTTCAGAGATGGTGCAGATTTATAAACATCGGGTCACGTGCCTCAGAAGAGTGGGTGGAGAGTAAGCCTCTCTCAAGGCCCTTGCAAGGGCGCCGTGGCCTCCAAGAGGGCAGAGCTCCTCTGCCCCACCCCCTCGTGTTCATTGGGCCTTCCTCTACCTCCCCGATCGGCAGTCTCCAAATTACTTTCTCTTCGATAACTAAAGGCAAGCTGGCGAAAGGGAACTCCCCTCCTCCCTGGTGTCTCCCATGTCTCTTATTCTGCTGGCCTTGTTGGGGCATCGCTGCGAGTTTAGAAGTCGCCCATTCTGTCCTGCTCAGCTCTCCTGTGTCCAGCGAGCTTCTCAGGCAACACTGCTGTGATGTGCCCCATGGCACCCTCACGTAGGTGACCGCGAAATCGCCGAGACAGCGTCCTGAATCCACCCTTACAAGGCATGGCCTAGGTTCCATCCGTGCGACGAGTGTTTGATCACATGGTTCTGCTGCGAGTTCCCCTGAGCCACCAGGGTTGCCCCGATGATGGCGGAATGTCCGGTCGTGTTTCCTCACCTGCCGTTCAGGCCTGTTAACTGTTTGCAAGTGTTTCCTTCATAAGCAGTTACTGAGATACGTCGAGTCGGCATCTGTTATCATTCCACGGAGAAAATTCCGCGTTTGCTAGTCAGTGGCACCTAGCGTGTAACCAGCTGTCCGACTGGGCGTTCCCCAAGTACTGCTCTAAGCGGGCAGTTCCTGCCAGAGTGCCACCTTCAGCGTCGCCCTCTGCTTCTTGGACGTGTACGTTTGGAGAGGAGCAACATGCCTGCCTTTCATTCCGCCGCACCAGGTCCCTCCTGTGACTTTTCTCGTTAGAAGTAGAGTCAGCCATGGGTCATGAGAGGTGCATAGGACACAGTGTCTCTTGGTCTCCCCTGTATGGCCTGTGAACGCACCTCTCAAAGGTCCTTTTACAGAAAACAGCCTAGTCCTGATCTGTGGAAGTATTTTTTAAGCAAAGGTTTTTTTAAAAAAGAAGACACAGGCTAGGCTCGGTGGCTCAGCCTGCAATCCCAGCACTTTGGGAGGCTGAGGCGAGAGGATTGCCTGAGCCCACCTGGTCGAGGTTCAAGACCCACCCAAGCAACTTGGCGAGACCTCATCTCTACAATAAATCTAAAATGAGCCAGGCGTGGTAGCACACACCTGTAGTTCCAGCTACTTGGAAGGCTGAGGCGGAAGGATCGCCGGAGCCCAGCAGGTCGAGGCTGCGGTGGCCGGGAGCGGCCACTGCACTCCAGTCTGGGCGACGGAGTGAGATTCCAACTCAAAAAAAAAAAAGAAGAAGATACAGGATGCATGTCTGATGTGCAATGAGAGTATCCTGAAGTTTTTAAATACTAGTTGATGTGTTGCCTAAAATATAACAAGATCTCTGCTGTTTAGAAACTTTTCTCCTGAGCCAGTGCAAATTAAAAATTAAAAGAACTCCTCCCACAGGATTGTTCTGATTGTCCAGACGGCCGCCGTCATGGCCGAGGTTGTTTGAAGGGGCAGTGTATGCAGAGTCCGCATTTCTCAAGAGGCTGGTTGTGTGGCTCCAGTGTCCTGAATCCCACTCTTATGAGGCATGCTTTTTTTTTTAATAAAGAATTCTGCCTGTGAACATTTTCTATTGAAAGGTATAGCCAGAACTGGAATTAGTTGGCCAAATCCTAGGCATCTAAGAGGCTGTCCCTCAAATGTGTTTTTCCTTTGGCAGTACAAGGCAGCACAGCTTTCCGGAGCTGGTCGTGTGGTTCTGGAACTTACGACCTTGAGAGGCAATGTGACTCCAAAGGAAAGCTCGCTAAGGCTGCTGAA